AAATTTATAAGCAGAGTCTGTAGTAATGGCCTCTTTTCCATTGCTTATGTTGGTAATTTGTGTTTTTTTTTTCTCTCTGCCAGTCATAATTTTATAAGTTTATCAATTTTATTGAACTCATTGACTTTCTATATTGTTTTGAAATTGTTCCAGTTTCATTGATTTATGCTTTTATTTTAATTTTTTTTTTAGTTGTAGATAGGCATGATACCCTTATTTTATTTATTTTTATTTATTTATTTATTTATTTAATGTAGTGCTGAGAATTGAACCCAGGGCCTCACACGTGGGAGGCAAGTGCTCTGCCACTGAGCCCCAGCCCAAACCCTTGGGCTCTAATTTTTTATTATTCTCTTTCCTTTTTGTTTTTGGTTTTATTTTGCTCTTCTTTTTCTAGTTTCTTAAGGCAGCCACTTAGATTGTTTGTTTGGAACTTTTCTCTTTTCCAATTTGAATGCTTTAATGGTATAAATTTTCCTCTAAGCACTGCTATAGCTGCATCCCACAAATTTTGATTTATTGTGTTTCATATTCATTCAGTTCAAAATGTTTTCACATTTCTATGAGAATTCTTTTTTGACCTTTGAAGTATTTACAAGTTTAACTGTGCTGATTAATTTCCAAAAGTATAGAGATTTTCTTATTCTGTATTGATTTCTGGTCCAATTGCATTATGACCAGAGAAGATACTTGGTATGATTTTTAGTCTTTAAATTTGTTAAAAATTGTTTTATGACCTAGGATATGGTCTATTTTGGTGAAAATGGCTCATGAACTTGAGAAGAAAGTGTATTCTGTTGCTGTTCAGTGGCTTGTTCTGTAAATGTTAATTAGAACCAGCTGTTTACAGTGTTTCTTGGTTTTCTGCAGTGTGCCCTTGCTGATTGCCTGCTGAATTCTGTTGATCACTGACAGGAATGTTGGTTCCTCCAACTCTGAGTGTGGATTTGCCTGTTTCTCATTCCAGTTCTGTTAACTTTTGCATCCTATATTTTCCAGCTCTGTTGTTTGGTTGGTGCATCCACATTCAGGACTGTTTGTCTTCTTAGTGAAAAGTGTATGTACTATCTCTTTTATCCCTGATACTTTTCTTTGTTCTGGAGTCTACTTTGTTGTATTCATTTATATGTTCTTTTTAGCCTGCCTGTAATTATTATTATATTTGAAATGAGTTTCTTGTAGACATCATGTAATTGAGTCATTTTAAAATTTTGTCCTAGCAATCTGTCTTTTAATTAGTCCATTTACATTTAATGTGATAATTGTTGGGTTTTTTAATATCTAACATTTTATTACTTGTTTTATGTTTCTCTAATTTTATTTTTTAATATTTATTTTTTAGTTAAAGGTGGACACAATATCTTTATTTTATTTTTATATGGTGCTGAGGATCAAATCCAGTGCCTCTCACATGCTAGGCAAGTACTCTACCTCATAAGCCACAACCCCGGCCCTCTCTATTTTTAGTTTCTGTGTTTTGCATTTTCTTAACTTCTTTTAGGTTATTTTGAATATTTTCTATTTTATCATTTGCTTTTTTTTTGTATTGGGGATTAAACACAGGGGTGCTCTCCACTGAATTATACTTCCAACCTTATTTACTTATTTATTTGATCTTGGGTCTCCCTAGCTGGGGCTGGCCTTGAACTTGCAATCCTCCTGCCTCAGCCTCCCAATTACCTGAGATTATAGGTGTGCACCACCATGCCCAGTTATCTCTTTATGTTTTTGCTAAATATCTCTTTATGTACTTATTCTAGGGGTTAAAATACACATACTCAATTTTTCACAGTCTATATGGAATTAATTTTTTGCCACTTCAAGTGATATGTTATCAACCTGTGGGTTCCCATTCATCCTCCCTCACGTTGTGGTTGTCTTATTCATTCCATTAAATATATTAAGAACCCTTTAAACAATATTGTAGTTTTTGTTTTCAGGCATCAAACACATCTTGAAGAACTCAGGAGAGGAATAGTCTATTAATTGCCCCGGGCTCTTACATTTCTGTTGCTCTTTCTTCTCAGCTTCTTGGTACTCCCACTTTGCTTCATCTGCCTGAAGAACTTCTGGAGCAACAGGCTAGTGACCACGAGCCCTCTCAGTGCTCCTTCACTCAGGAAAGCCTTCGTTTGTCTTATTCCTGGAGGACATTTTTACTGGAAATAGAATCGTGAGTTGACGTTTTTTTTCTTTCAGCACTTGAAAAATGTTCCATTTCCTTCTGGAGAAATCAGGAGGAAATTTGAATCCTATTCCCCCTTAAGTAATGTGTTGTTTTTCTCGGGCTACTATAAACAATTTTTTTTTTCTTTAGTTTTCAGCAGTTTGAGAATGATGTATCTGGGCATGGTTTTGTTTGGGGTTTCAGAGACTTCTTCTTCTTCTTTTTTTTTTTTTTTTTTTTTTAGGTACTGGGGATTTAACCCAGGGGTTTTTACCACTGAACCACATCCCCAGCCCTTTTTATGTCTTATTTTGAGACAGGGTCTCACTGAGTTGTATAGGCCTTGCTAAGTTGCTGAGGCTGTCTTTGAACTGGATCCTCTAGCCTCAGCCTCCCAGGTCACTGGGATTCCTCCCAGGTCACACTGGATTACAGGTGTGTGCCACTGTGCCTGGCTTTTCCTAGACTTCTTGATACCTGTGGGTTTATATATTTTCCCAAAATCTGGGAAACTTTCATCCATTGTTTCTTCAAACTTCTTATACACACCACATTCTTTTTTCTGTCTTTCCAGGAATCTGAAGACGAGACTGTTGGACTTTCTGTAATTCCTCACAGGTTCCTGAAGCTCTGTTCTGTGTCAGTCTCTTCTCCCTGAGTTATTAAGAGTCTATAATGTCTGTTGATTTATACGGAAGTTCATACACTCTTTCCTTTGTCATCGCCATTCTGCTGTGGAGCCCATCGGGTGAGACTTGTGTTTCAGTTACATGAGTTTTTAATTCTGCAATGTCCTTCTGGGGCTTCTTTATATCTGCAATTTCTTTCCTAACATTTTTTTATCTTTTCATTTATTCCAAGAATGTTCGCTGGGTGTACTTCTGCAATCCCAGCAACTCAGGAGGCGGGGGCAGTTCAAAGTCAACCTTGGCAACTTGAGAGACCTGTTTTGAAAAAAAAAACAAAAGGCCTGGAAGATAGCTCAGCGGTAGAGCGCCTCTGGGTCCCATCCCCAGTACTAAAAATCATAAATTGTAGCATTTTTATAACAGCTGCTTTAAGTTCTGTGTCATCTCAACAGTGGCATCTGCTGATTCTCTCTTCCTATACGTGTTGAGATCTTCCACATTCTTCATGTATATGCTGAGCCGTTTTTTATTATAACCTGGACATTTGATGATTATGTCAGAAGACTATGGATTTAAACTCTGTAAAAAATGTCTTGTTACCTGGTTGAATTTGGGTCACAAGTTCCAGTCTTCCATAGGGAGTGGTTACAATCTCAGTTCTGTTTTCCAGGACTTCCGATCTGTCCTCACAGATACGTGTGGTGGCCAATGGCCAGCCTGGGACCTGGGCAATGTTTTGTTTTGTAATTCAGTTCTCAAAGTTGGTGGTATGTTATTTAGGGTCAGGTCTATTTTTGTACTTCTCAGCAGGGAGCCAGAAGTTCAAGAACAACTTTATAGGGCTCCTCTTCTGAGCTCTTCCCTCTCCTGGTACTTTCTAGTTCCCAGGAGCCTCTTCTACTTGCACTTCCCACAATCCTATCTGTGTTCTGGGACAGGCTGTGGGGGGGCAGCGAGGAGGGAAAAATAACACTGGGGGTTTTCCCACCCTTTGGGACTGCAGCTTCTCTGCCCCCAGTCCCCTTCCTCAGAGTTTAAGACTCCTGAAAGATCTCCTGCCCTGACCTTCTCAGGATTGCGTGGGAGCCGGGACACAGGAGAAGGAACACAATGGGATTTCTCCCTCCCTTCTGAGTATTAGGAGATCTCCTTCTGGGTTGCCCCAGGGTCTCTTTCTGTCTGGGATGGTGTCCATTTCTGGGTTCCAGGCTGTGCTGAATTGAGGGCAGATAATTCTAGAAAAGGAAAAATGATAGATAACTCATCACCAGGTCAGCAGGACCTGAGATTCTGTCTTCCTGGCCAATACTCTAATATTTGTTTTTGGTTTTTTTTGAATCTTCGAGTAGCTATTCCATACATTCTAGATGGGATTCACAGCAGCATCCACTAGGAAACAAGGTGGGATGTGCTTTCTCCAACTTGCCCTGAACCAGAACCCAGTGTGTTTTATGCATTCAAAAACAGGATTCTGACATGAGATCCAGAGGCCTCATCAACTGCCAAAGAGATCCATGGCACAGAAATTACCCTTAGCTGGAAAGGAGGGACAGACATATTGACAGGTGCAACCAGTATGTGATGTGCTGAGGAGGCCCAGGAGAGTACCCACGCCGGCTTGGGTTCAGAAGAGCATCCCAGTGAACAGGGGAGGAGGGGCATCCCTGGCAGATGGAAAGGAGACCTCTCGCACCAGCAAAGATCCAGAGCATGGAAAGTGTGGGTCACAGCAAGTGGTTCCAAACAGCCAGGATGTGAGCTTCAGTGGGCACTTGTGACCATGCAGAGAAGAGAATCACATTGTTTTGTTAGGTAGCACTGGGGGACTGCTAAGTTCATGAGAGTCTCAACCCACTGGAAGCTGTCATCTTGACAGTCTTCATCATGGAGCCCCATTCCAGATCTCAGTTTCAGGTCTGTACGTGGACTCCGCTGCACAGACATTCAGTATTTCAGTAAGGAGCCCGATCATTCTGTATGCTTGGCAACACTCTCTGTTGTGGATACATATGCCATCGGACAGCTATTTAAAATTGCTATTTCAGAGATCAAAAATTCAATGAGGAGACTGAAAGCAAAATTATGGAAACGCAAAATGCAAAACAATAAAACAGCCAAAGGAAAAAAAATATTGAATTCCATCTTTTCATTATTATAAACTAAAAGAACAACTACAAATAATCATCATAATTGGAATAATGCATTTCTCTGTGCTTTTGGAAAAATTCAAATTTGTCAGAGCTTGAGGCAGGGTGCAGAAATAAATAGGATGAAATAAAGAAAATGTGTTTGGAAATAAAAAGGAACTAAATTCCCAAGGAAGGTAAATCTAGCTTGCAATATTATGATTCGAATCTCCACAGATGAACACAGGCCTGACCCCGGGGCTGTGGGCCAAAGCTGACCTCAGCCATGGAACCCCTCCTTACCATGGAAAGAAGAAGAACTGGGGGTGAGGGAAGATCATATATTTATCCCACTATTGAGTTGTTTCCAAAAAGATATGACTAGGTAAGGAACAAAACAAATAACAAAGATCTCACTTAATTTATCTTTAGAAAAAATAATATGAACAATGCTGACGTGAACATTTGTGCACAAGTTTTATTAGGCACATGCATTTTTCGATTGTCCTGGGAATACTGACTTAGGAGTGGAATTACTGGATTATATGCTAACTTTATATTTAGTGTTTTTTAGGAATTGCCAGTCTGTTTTCCAAAGGCGCTGTATCATTTTGCATTCCCCCGTGGTGGATGAGGGTTCTGATTTCTCCATGTTGGCAGGATACTTTTTAAAGCAGCTGAAGAACAAGCAACTACAGGAAAATGCGATGCTCGGCACCCCCACCTCTCTCCTGGAGAGCATTACAAATTGGCAAAGATCTGCTTGTCTTTCATCTGTACAAATTGAAGCAGAAGCAAGAGGGTTTGATCAAAGCTCTTCCCCTAAATTGGGGGATTTCAAGCAAGGCTGAGCCCTCCCCTGCGATTCCATTTTCTCTCCTAGAAATGAAGAAAGATGCATAAGCCTCTTATTTAAATAGAGTTATGCATGACAGCGTTTTGGTCAATGACGAACCACAGACATGACTGTGGTCCCATAATTTTAAGTCATCTAGTCATATTGTAGCCATCTTAGTTTGTGTAAGTACAGTCACATAATGTATTTGCATGATGCCAAACACACCCAATGATTCATTTCACAGAAGACATCCCTGTCGTTCATGATTGAACACTATAAAAACAGCAAGAAATATGGATTCAAACCTAGGACTTTAGAACATGTGACCAACATTGATGTGAAATTCAGCCAAGTCTTTCGCAAGCCAACTTGAGCAACCTCCTGGATCCCAAGGGGAGAGGTTTTCCTTGTCCTCTTTCTAGGCCTAAGAGAGCAAAGACCAGGGCAATAGAGAAGTAACCTGAGTGGCCAGTGCTGTAACCAAAGATTCTGCCCAGATACCTGGAGTTAGTGGTGTTTTCAGCCAGTTTGAATGGAAAGGCAGAAGAGCAAAATGAACAACTTCTTTCCAGAAGTCTGAGGATTGTGCTCTGCAGCATCATACTTCATCCTTAGAAAGAACCACCAGTGAGGGAAGAAATGGACTCAGGGTAGGATTCTGGGCTTCTCCATATTTTGAATAATCCTCCTCCTCCTCCTCCTCCCCCTCCCCCTCCCCCTCCCCCTCCCCCTCCTCCTCCTTCTTCTTTCTTTTTCTCCTGAGACAGGGTCTCACTAGGTTGTCCAAGCTGGCCTTGAACTCCTGAGCTCAAGTGTCCTCCTGCCTCAGCCTCCCAAGCAGGTGGTACCACAGATACTTGTACTTTGAACCTCACATCCACTTAAGCTGAGTGACATGGTTCACACAGACCTGTAATTCTATTGGTCAAGGGCAAAAAAATCATAATGGTACAGAGTGACTCATAGAATGTTTTGTCTTTTTTTTTTTTTTTGCCTACAATCAGCTCCAGGGAGGTGGGGTGGGGTGGAATATTCCTTTATGGGTTTCTTCCCCTATGCAATTCAAAATGCAAGGCAGCAGAATAATGAAACCAAATGTGCCATAATGGAAAAAATAATTCCACTATAAATAAGCCTCGTTACTCCGAGAAAGAAAAACAAAAAGGGAGCTGGAGAGTGTATGCCCCTTTCCCTTTCAAAACTAAACCATAATCAAGGGCAAACAGGCTAAAAAACACAACCGAGATAAAACTGGAATTTGCAGCTGTGGCTGAGAGGCATGTGGAGGGAAGCGGCACCCACACAAGAGCACCTGGGAGTTGGGCACTTTTTCCGTTCAGTAGGTGCCTGGGAAAATCTTGCCCCGTGGGTGGAGGCCCCAGACACTCCATGGTGGGGAGCAGCAGTCAGGGCCTGTGGTGCAGCGTGGCCTTGAGCTAAGACAGGGACCAGGTTAGGAGCCCCAGGTGGCAGGAGGGGTGGGGTTCAGCCACCTGCAGATGGCCTTCCCAGGCTAGAACACAGCCCTGCAGGTCCAAAGGTGCTGTGTGTTGCTTTCTGTGGCTTGAGAAGGTGGGCCTGCCCCTCTAGAACCTTCCCATCTGTGAGGCAGAGGTGCCTGTTTCCTGACCAGGTTCTAGAATGAGGTGTCCACCCAAGACAAGCGGAGTCCGAGGGTCACCTGCACCTCTATGCCTGGGGCAGGATGGGTCATGACCTCACTCTGACCCTCTGCTGTGTCACCCAAACTATGGCTGTGGTGGTTGGGCCTCTCTCAAAGCTGACTTCTTCCATTTGTGTCAGTCATCCTGAAAAATCCGTGATTGTGGTCCAAAATGCTAGCCCCTCTGGCCACGGGACCCTGTCCCCCTACAGCTCTGTGGCCCTCCCTTCCCTCATTCCTTTGCTCTGCATGAGTCATTGTCCTTTAGGCCAAGGCAGCCCTCAGCCCTCGAGGGCAGGCACTCCTGTTGCTGTCCCCAGGGAGCTCAGCCTCAGGGAGGTGGTTTCTGGTTCCCACCACTCTCTGCCTCACCTCCTCTGCTCCACTCCATCATCACACCGGACCTTGTCTTCCCTAGATTCCTCCACCTCTGAGGTCTCCTCCTCCAGTTGACATTTGCATCTGCCAGGGGCCTTGGTTCAGAAATCACAACAGCAGTCAGAAATCCCCTCCTTCCATCTGGTGGCCCTGGCTCCACCCACACCCTCTTCTTCTGACCTTGCTCTCAGCTAGCTGTTAAGGTTGGAAAAAAAAATCCAGTGGCCTCTTGCGCACCAAGGGGCTCCCTGCACAGATTCCATGCCACCTGACGCATCCTGCTGCTTCAAGGATCGACGGTAGACCCAGCTCGTCACATATAAATGAGATCCATGTCACGTCTTTAAAGCTATGGCCCTAATGTCTCCTTACCTTCCTGTCACTTAATAAGTTTTTAAATTTATTAAGTTTAAAAAGTTAAACACACAACTTTTACACAAATATAAAATTAATATTCAACTTGTTAAGCCAATAGGATAGTAAAGAAGCTTAAAGAACATCTGTGGAATTTTACAGCATTTAAGAACAAGATAAAGTGTTGGAGTGACTGCCAGGCTAGCTAGGAAGCTGGTGAATGTGCCGACGTGGGAATGAGCCTGTAACCCTTGTGGTTATCTTCGCTAAGGGACAGAAATTGATAAGGTAACATGTATATTTACTGTGTCTGGGCTTATCAACTAGTAAATAGTAAAGTCACACACAGGTATATTCTCTTCAAGAATGGAACTATCTCTGGGTGAGCCTGACAAACAATGCCCCCAGTATGACCTTGGGGGGTGGGGAATGTCCCTTGGCCTTCCTTATTTCTAAGTTTCAGATAAGTTTTCTTTTAAGAGAGAAAACTCTAGTTATATCAAAGTTTCCAAAGTTTCCAACCTCATCCCTTCTGAACTAAAAAAAAAAAAAAAAAGAACTACAAGTGCATCACTCACACCCCTACTGGGCTCTTGATGACCAAGAAATGATTATCACCTGGCAGGATTTCACACAGCACGACTCGGCAGTAGGAGTGGTATCCTGGCGGCCCTCCGATCACACAGATGGCCACCAACTCTCTGGAGGCCAGTCCCAGCCAAGAATACAGACACTTTGAGTTCCAGGACATGTAGTTCAGGAACGGGCTAGGGGGATTTATACCTTCATCAAGACATCAAAGATCCAGAACTTCAAGGAACTTCCTGGCCCGGCTGCTCAGATCTCCCTGGATCTTCTGGGACAGATGCTGCTTCCTTTATCTGGTTCTCCTGGGGCTGAGGGAGTCCACTGCCCTCTCGTGCCAGGGTCTCAGCAGCTATCCCGGCAAGGGTCTCTTCTTTGAGCTGTTGATCAACTTAGGGACTCTTCTTCTTGCTCTGTGCTCTGTGAAAAAGATTAGTGTCTTGGCTGAAAACTGTAAAAGTTAACTTTTAAGCTGTAATTTCTGTGAAGTCGAATAATCCAACTGTTATCATCTTAATTTTATTAGTAGTTGTGCTGTGCTCAGAACCTCTTGGGTCTCTCTTACGACCAGAAAGAGCATAATAAGGCCCCAGGGACAATGACCTCACCCACAGGCGTGCTATCTTCCAAATCACATTAGCTTTCCCTAAATAAAAGCCTAGCCATGCTCACAGGTCTGCAGTGCAGGAAGGTCACGCTGTGCTGACCTGTTAGATTGTTTCTCGGAGTATTTTTCTTACTCCGTCTTTCTTCTGTTGTTATTGATTTTTTTCCCTAATGTGTTTCCAGCACATGTCACTGTTTTTAAAAATTAGAAATTGTACTTAGCGAAAGAAAACAAAAAGTACCCAGCTTCACATTCCTCAGAGATCAATGCCACTCATACATTGCTACTCAGCATTTTGGTCTTTGTTTCTGATTTTTTTGGTAAAGAGACGAGACTGTGTTGTAGTGCCCCGTAAGCCCCTTTTTCCACACTATAATAACGTGGGTCATGGATGGACACCCAGAGACACTCCCCTTGTCCAGGGTGGCCTCACCCTTTGCTGCATTTGGTGGTATACATGTTGCTAAAACCCAGTTCAACACAAAAGCAGTCCTGTCTCAGACCAGTCTTTGCAGCAGTTCGAATAAATTTGGGAGGCAAAATAAAAGGGATCTACCAACTCTGATTTATTCATCCAGAAGAGAAACGGGCTCCGTCAGTGGGGGAACAACACAACCGCAAGCCCTCCAGTGTGGTGCTGTGTCATGGTGTCACCAGACACTGAAACAAGGGGCTCTCGTGGTCTAAGAGAGAAGATGTGGCGGGCCCCTGGTGGTGGCAGTGGACGTGACGAGAAGTGGTGAGATTCTGGATGTGTTTCGAAGGTGAGGCAGCAGGATCCTCTGGGGGATGTGGAGGAAAGCAAGGAGTCAGACGATTCCAAGACTTGGTTGGAGCGCACGGAAGGCAGGAAAACCCTTGGAGGAGCAGGCCTGGGAGGGAGGCAGGAGCTCAAGTTGTGGAGAGTGAAGGCAAGACACCAGTTAGGGTTTTAAAAGAAGATGTGTGCAGGCTGTTGGAGATCCTGGGGGGACCCCAGAGAGAAATCCAGGCTGAAGACAGAAATCAGGGAGCCCCAGTATAAACCTAAATGACAATCAGAACCCCAGGCAGGGTGGAGTCACCAGGCAGCTAAGAGTAGACAGGCTGCGGCCGGAACACCCCAACACTACAAGGAAGAAGGGAGGGGAACCACCAGAGGAGCCCCGAGTCAGAGCAAGCAGGGTCTGGATGCCCTAGGGACCAAGCAAAGGAGGCACTTCCGGGGAGGACACCAGCCACTGTGTTAGTGCTGCTGGTGGGGAGTTAAAGGGGGCCCAGGACGGGGCCTGGGTCTGAGGGAGCAGGGCACAAGCAAGCATGGCGGGGGCAGAGCCTGATGAGGGGGCTCCAGGGAGAGTGGGTGCCCTCCAGTGAGGAAGATTGGGTTTCTCTTCTTCCGCTGTTATTTTCATTAAAGAGACTGAAAAGACAGAAAACGAAGGGAACATAGAGAAGTCTTTTGAGTGTCCCCACCAGCGCCACTCACACCCCAGGAGGAATTAACAGCATGTTTTTGCTGATGGGAATGACCAGAAGTTGTGGAGTTCAGTGTGGCAGGACAGCAGGGCGACATCTCCTGGAGCAACGTCCACAGCAGGAACAAGGGGACTGAACTTGGGACACCGGGGAGATGTGAGCCCTCTGGAGCACCGTGTGCTCATCAAGAGGGAAAATGGAGGGTGCAGTGATGGACAGGAGATGCACTCTGAGAGCGTGTGTGGAGCTTTCCTTCTGAGTGTGTGTGTGTGTGTGTGTTTCACAAGGTGAGATAATGGTAAAATAGAAGAAGGTAAAAATTCCGTTTTCAGTAAAATAGAAGCTGAGGGTGAGGTGGGGGCCAGAGGTGCTGGAAGACTGGGGAGAGGGGAAGGCAGAGGTTTACCTGGGAAGGTTGAGAATCGGTGGACCAGGGAAGCATCTCCGCGCCAGGGAGCACAAATGGCCGACGTCAGGACAGAAGTGTTTTTCTCCAGCCATGTTCTGCCGCACAAATGTAGCAGGGAGAGTGACGAAAATCAGCAGGAGAGGACCAAGGGGGCTGAGTGGTTGTGGTCGCTGACTTGGAGTTTGAGCTGGGTAGGGAGGGAATGGGTGGCATGAGGAGAGATGCGGGGAAAAGGTGGTAGGATGGGTAGGTCTCTGTGCGGTTGGGGACTGGGTTGTTGGTGCAGGAGACAAAAGGGAGTGTGCTGGAGAGACAAGAGGGGGTGTCTGAAACAGAGTTTGGATAATGCATCTACTGGTACAAGCAGGGAGCAGGTGACTGAGGTAGGATGGATGGCAGTATGGAGGAGGGGACACCAGGTAACTAAGAGGCCAGGGCCTTGGAAGGATCTCCAAGTGGTAACTGACGTCACCCAGAGTCACAAGCTTGGAATGGAAAGAGTAACAGTGGATCAGGATCTGAAATCTCTCAGGTACAAGAGGACATAACCCAAGTCCCCAGGTGACCAGTCACACCCTGGGGTCAGCTTGCTGGCATGAGGTCAAAACCTAGGACTAGAGTGGGGAGAGGGCTTGAGGTCTGCATGGGGCACAGGATCAGGAGGCAGGTGCCCTACCTCCAGGCCTAGTAGGAAAGGGGTCATGGGAGAGAAAAGGGTCACCACAGAATAGAGCCACAGGGAAAGCAAGAGCTTTGAGGTTCCAGTTTCAGTCAGAACAACAAGAGGAAGAAAAATTTTGAAGAGTTTGAGGAGGACAGAAATTTGGATGATGACTTAAACTCTGGGGACCCAGAGAATAGGTTTCAGGGTGGGAGAGGGAGGGGGGTCAAGGCTGGAATATACTGAACTGATAGAAACTGGGTTGCTGAGGGTGAGGGATAACCTGTAATACCCGGGATTCTCTTGATGATCCCCATCAATAAGAATAGGAGGCCAGCCAGGCGCTGTGGCACATGCTACGGCTACTCAGGAGGCCGAGGCAGGAGGCCCCATCACAAGTTCAAGGCCAGCCTGAGTAACTTAGTAAAAAGAAATGGGAGAAAGGAGTAGTTGGGGGTGAAACAGTGGTAGAGTGCCCTGGGTTCAATCCCCAGACACACACACACACACACACACACACACACACACGGAATAAAGGGCTCCGGGCCCTGTTACATTACTCCCCAAGTCTTCAAGGCAAATAGGCCAGCTGGGGGCTGGGGACGTGGCTCAAGTGGTAGCGCGCTGGCCTGACATGCGCGAGGCACTGGGTTCGATCCTCAGCACCACATAAAAATAAATAAAGACATTGTGTCCACAAAAAAAGAAAAGAAGAAAGAAAATAGGGCAGCTGGGCGGTGTGTGGGGGTGGGCAGGCAGGTGAAATGTCAGGGTGTCCAAGAACGAACGGGGTTTTTCTAGAAGCATGTAGAATTCAGGGCCCTCTTTGTCCAGGTCAGGGGCAGGGCGAGGTGGGTGGTGGTCTTGAATGCTCTTCTGAACAGCACCCATGCAGCCAACGTTGCCTTTCTGTTCTCTAAGGTCAGAAAAATGACAGACAATCCAGGAAAGAAATTTGCAAAGTATATAAACCAGCAGTTAACAGGGGAGAAAACCCAGAAGGACTGCTAGCATGAAAGTAAATTTATATTTGATAATAGAGAAAAGTTTGAAAAAGAGATGCTTGTTGGCACTCATTATCCTGGCAAAGTGTTTTAAAAACGTAACACCATGACCTGGGAGGGGGTTGAAAAACAGGAACTCTCCAATGTTGCCAACATTGGAGAGAAGATTGTCAGTAACTGCTAAAGATGAAAATACCCCGTGGGGCACAGTAGCGAACCCCATAACCCCAGCTACTTCAGAAGCAGGAGGATCGCAAGTTCTAGATCACCCTGGGCAACTTAAGAGAGACCCCATCTCAAAAAATAAAAAGGGGCGAGGACATAGCTTAATGAAAGAGCACTCCTGGATTCAATTCCCAGTCTGCAAAAAAACAAGTAAACAAACAAAGATGAAATTACCCAATGGGTCAGCAATTCACTTTCTGCTGGGGGGAACTTGCACACAGGTCCCTGGAGACACCCTGGTAACCAGCACTGCTCCAGACAGTGCCACGTTGGGCAGTCCCGCGAACAGGCAGGTGAACAAACTGTGATACAGAATCAGCGACTGGGCCTGCAAGTGTCTACGTGCTAGATCTCAAAATGATAGTGCCAGGTGAAAATAAAGCCCATTGCTGAAGGTGACCTCTCCTGAATCCATTTAGTTAATTAAGATCCACAGAGTAGAGGTTGGGGTTGTGGCTCAGTGGCAGAGCACTTGCTCGCATATGTGAGGCACTGGGTTCAAGTCTCAGCACCACATATAAATAAATAAATAAAGGTCCATCAACAACTAAAAAATATTAAAAAAAAAGATCCACAGAGCAATGTTGTGAATTGTGTACATTACACACACACATACACACACACACAATTAATGTATAAAACTGGGTTTGTGGCTCAGTGGCAGATTGCTTGCCTCTTGCATGTGAGGCACTGGGTTCAATCCTTAGCACCACATAAAAATAAACAGAGTAAAGATATTGTGTCCAAGTATAACCAAAAAAATATTTTAAAAAATTTTATTGACCTTAAGCATGATGGTTACTTCAGGAAGGAACAGGATCGGGGGAGGTGGGTACAAAGGATTCCAGCTCACGCTAACATTTTCTTCCGTTACTCTACCTGAAGCATAAACAGCAAAGATATATTATCCATTCAGCTGGATCAGCAGTTGCCTCAAATGTGTTATATTATCTTCTGTACTTTGAGGCATGTTTGGATGTTTTAAAAATTAGAAGACTTCTGGTTTCTTACTCTAGGTGCAGATTTTTGCAAAGAGAGCAGAGTATGTGTGACCTG